GTAGGAATTGATAAAAAATTGTTGCGAATATTATAAAAAAAAATCATCTCACTGATTTCAACACACATATTGTCGAGATTTTAGTGAATTTTCAATTTTTAAACTATGTGTAAAATTGATAGCCCCAAAATCTCGGTCAATTCTCTATAAAATCATATCGTGGTTTACAATTTATCTCTAATTAAAAAAAACAACCAAAGTAGAAGACACTTTTTAGAAAATTACAGAGTAGTCTCTCAGTCATTAAGTAATGTTTTAAATGTCTAAGTACTTTATTATGTATAAGTGCAATAGTTTTTAGACCAAGTTTGAAGAAGACATCATGCACTATCGTTCAGAAAAAAAAAGAATGATTGACTCTCAACGAGTTCTACTTTGAAATGCAAAAGAAGTAGAATAAACGAGAAACTTATACGACATTCGGTATAAAGAGGTGTTCAATAACTTAAGATTTCCCACAAGAATACTTTCATCTATGCTTTTCAATTACGCACATAATTTAATTATTCAAAGACAACGATTAAAAACTGACAAAATTCTTTTCAGTTGACATGTTGACAAAGTATTCTGTTATTTTTAGTAGTTATTTTTTTGCTCGATGATTAATATTGTGAAAAGACTAAAAATAGGAAAAAGTTATATTTCGATAATAAATAAAAAGTACGAGCGACACGCCAAGTTTAACAGCAGTAAAACGAAATGTGTCAAAACTATTATTCCTTAGCTTGAACGGATGTTTGTGTAGAATACTTAATTCTCCTGAACTTCTTTTTTGTTGCTGTTGCTTTGTTCTTCTGATTATTTGCTACATTAATCAATGTTAACATATCTTATTCTTATATCGATTTTGTTGTAATGTAATAATTTTAGATAAATAAATCTAGTGAAAATCTATATTGATCATTTAAATAAATTTCTTACTAAAAATATTTATCCATTAAGGATACATATCATCATCATAATCACAGAAGAACTATAAAATAAAGAACAAGACCTTGATAGCTTTATGCTTCATTCATCAAACATCATAGAGGACGGTCACACAAAAGACAGAATGACATTCGTCAATGATTATGCAGAATAACACGTAGCTGTGCAATTGCTCTATTAACAAGTTGATAGTACTTAATAAGAATATGGAGTAGGGTATCACGGTCTGTACTTTGTCACGACTGGAAAACGATATGTATAGTGTTTCTAAAACATGACTTTTCTGTTACAATTTAGTAATGTAACTAGGGGGGGGGGGGGCTAGAAAGGCTGAGCCCTTCAACCATTGATCGAAGTCACGCTAGCTAAAATCTGCTATTTCACCAAACAGACGGACCTTGGCCATCGGAGAGTTTCGTCATGTTAAGACTCTCTACTGTTAAAATTCTAGTTTGGCTACTTTTCTTATAGTATAGAAAACACTTGGTTTCATTAAATATTGGAACAGGTTTTTATTTTTTTGTTTATTAAAAGTTTCCAAAAGAACGACCTTACTCGTCATTTTCTATTAAAAAATTTTTTGCTACAGACATGTTTGATCTTGATGTAGACAGATACCTGTAGACAATGACATAAATATACATTTTGTTTGTATATCAAAAATATTTTATTGAGCTTTTTTTTCTGTTATCTTTGTTTATTTTTTATATTATGTTGTTTTGTAAAATAGATAATATTATTCATTATACCCTCATTTACTTTAATAGGTTTTATGCTATCGTTTGTTTCTATCTAATAATATTTAATAAACAGAAACTTTTAATTAACCTTTTCTCTTCTTTTACATGACATGCTCTGAACAGGGTTTTTACGACCTTACATTCATAATAACATTCTATCTTTCAAAACAAAAAGTATGATGAGCATATAACAGTATATATTTACCGTTCTTTCAAAATACAGAACAGACAAAAAAGTGCGTACTATATATACATATATATATTCATATATACTCAAATAGTGCGATCATCATCATTACTAATAAAAACTGACTTATTTATTCGTGATTAGTTAACCTTGTTATCAAATACGTTCGATTTTCAACAATTGTTTCACTACTCGTTGAATTTTATCATTTTATTGTTGAATCATTCTTTTGAATTTGATAGCATTGTGTTAAAACAAAGGTCATACACTTAGAAAAAACAAACAAACAAATTAAAAGTATTAAACATTCGACGTGATCAAAAAAATATGTCCTCATTACAATCATCATCACCAATACATTCAGTAACATCGCCAAATTATACAGCTGATTTATTTAAAAAATTTAAACTTAAAAATTATCGTGCAATACAATCAATGGTTGAAAATGATGATCAAATGGATATGAATAGTTCTGATGAATCAATATCTCAATCTGTAATAGCTGATATTGATGTTGAACAAGAGTTTGAAACATATTATAGGAAAATAAATACACAAATGATTGATACAAATCTTAATTCATGTTTATTAACACCAGATATTGATGATCTTAAACGACAAGAAAAAGAACTTTTACAATCACTTAACCAAGTTGATCAACAGGTAGATGAAAAATCTTAATAATTTAGAATTCATTGTTATGTTTGTTTTTTATTTATAATTGTCTCTTTTTTAGAATGAACAAGATCCATTATCAATCGAAAATCATGTCAAATCAATGCAATCTGGAAAAAAACCTCGTATACCATGTGAAGTTTGTCATGATACAGCAACAGGAATACATTATGGTTTAACAACATGTGAAGGATGTAAAGGTATGTATATATTTAACTTTTTTAAAATAGATTATTTTCTTTTTGTTTTTATTTTCAGGATTTTTTAAACGAACAGTTCAAAATAAAAAAATATATCGTTGTATTGGCAATGGTTCATGTATAATTGATAAATTTCAACGTAAACGTTGTCAATATTGTCGTTTTACAAGATGTTTAGAAAAAGGTATGGTTATTGGAGCGGTTCGTTATGATCGAACGCCTGGTGGACGAACACCAGCTAGTGTTGCTCTATTATATAAAGTAAATATTTCTTGACACAAAAAAAAAAATTGAATTTTTAATTTTTGTTTTGCTTAGTTTAATAAAGAAAAATTTCATTGTCAAAATCGAGAAGAATTTAATAATTTACTTGAAGAAGTAATTCTATCTGATGCTGAACTTAAAGCAAATATAGAAAATCAATTAAATCAATCATTAGATATAAATTCAAATAAAAAAGTTACACATCATTTTGATCAATTATCTATTTTGGATACATTATATGATCATTTAAAACCATTAACTCATAGTTCAATGCCATTAACAGATGAATTAATAAAAAAAACTTCACATTTATTAATTGATTCATTTATATCATGGTATCGTTCATTATCATTTTATTCATTATTAAGAAAAGATTTAAATCAATTTATATTAGAAAATCGTTGGTCAAAATATATTCTTTTAGCAACATGTCAATTTTTAGCAGTACAATATAATCATATAAATCTAATATCATATGATAAATGTTTAAAACGTTTAATTGAATATCAACAAAAATCATTACCTTCATCAATATCATGTGAAATAATAGATCGATTGATAAATTTTTTATTACAATTAATTAATTTAAATTTAACTACTACAGAATTTACATTATTAAGTATATTAATTGCTATTCAATATGGTAAAAATTTAAAAAGAAAATTTTTTTTTCTTGTTATTCATCACAAAAAAAAATCTTTACTTTTATTTTTATAGATAAAATAAATACAACAATCGATCAAAATGATTTAATACTACTCGAACAAGTATATTTAAAAAATTTGCATGAATATGAAAATCAAACACTTTCATGTAAAGCAGCACATCGTTTTAATCAACTATTACATATACGTGAACAAATAAATCATTTAGCAGAATTACTTCTTAAAGAAAGTCATTTTTATTTACCATATTTATTAATTCCTTATTAATCGATCTTCTTTTTCTTTTCTTAATTATTGTTTATTTCCTATGTAGTTTGTAAATATGCAAATGAAATAAAGAATAGAGTTTAATGAATATGTATACATAAAATATCAGTTCTATTTAGTAGCATTTTTAAAATATAATAATAGACGTGAACCTCGAAGTAAATCAAGTAATTCATTTAGAAAATTTATTATTGTTGTATCACGTTCTTGACGATGTGATGCAAATACAAGAGCAAGTGTTATACGTGGATCAATATTTTGAAGAAAATATGTTTTTGGATGGTTCTAAAACGAAAAAAACAAACATGAATAATTTTCTAGGCTAAAATTACAGGTTTGTCATGAATCGTGTTTTTTTGTTTGTTTTTCTTTGACATTGACTAGTTTTATTAGAATTATTGTTTTTCATAATGAAAAATGCATGTTATATATGCGCACCTGTATCAAGGTGAATAATCATGCGTAAGAATGACTTGCCATAGACAATTAAAATCTATTAAACTTTAGAGTAACATGACCCTGATGAAGAACACTTTTTTTATACCATGAGCGAAAGAGTCATTGTTCTTATAATGATGTTTATCTGTTACATTGATAAAATAATCTACTTAAAAAACCTTCAATCCATAAAACAAAGGTCATGGAAATGAAAATTAGATTAAAAAAGAGAGACTAATTTTACTCATATGTAAAACTTGTCAAAAAAACTGTTAGTCATTATACTCACAATTTTTATTTTATCATGGGAAGAACGCTTAGGTTCTAATCTCTTTAGATAATGTCATATCCGAAAGATAACTCTTCTTCAATTAACTATTTTCATAAGCCTTTAGCTAAGTTTGATACTTATGGTAAAAATAATACATGTTTTTTTTTTGTCTCAATCAAAGACAAGGACTACACCTACATATAATAATCATTCTTTTCATTTGATTCTAAAATAGAAATAAATTACATACGGTATCTCCACTATAGAATATTTTGTCACCACTTGTCAGCATTTCATTATTAATTGCGGCTTTTGTAATCATTTGTTGTGCGATTTCATCTGTCTATAAAAAGAAGATAAATTGTTTTTTTTTTTGAATAAATTATTCTGCAACACATCACGAACTGAGTTTGGCTTATTTGGATAACCGAATATAATTTGATAGGGTTTATCATCATTAAAAGATGTTATTGGTTGAATTAAATGATAATCAGCTATAAAATAAACTCAAATATGTATTTAATTTTGAGAAAGAATCATTTTTGTTTTTAGCTACCTAATTGATCTATTTGACTCAAATATGTTTGTTGTTTAGTTGTATGTAAAATGAGTGTAATCCATTCAACATTTGAACGTCTACAGAATTGTGCAATACGTGTAGTAAATTCAGAATTTGTTTTTCCCATTGGTATTTTAGCTTCTGTTCCACCATATTCATATAAAATATCGGCAAAATAAAGTGTAAACTTGAAGAAAAAAAAAATTATTTATTCCAAAAAAACAAAAGTCTAAAAATATAAAATATTACTTTTGCCACAAGTAATTCATGAAATTTTGAATAAAATGTATATAATGCTGGTTTTGTTGGTGATTTAAAAAAATTTAATGGACTTGTACTTGATAATATAAAACGATGATTTGTATTTTGTTGATTTTCAATATTCTCATTCCATTCTTTTAATACACAGTGCAAATGATGTAATGTTGATATACCATTCATATATTGATAATCAGCAATAAATGCATATGATTGTATTAAGAATAATAAACAATCAGTTTCATGTCTAATAAAAAAACAAAAAAAAAAAAATTTTAAATAAATTTCGTTTTTATAAATTTTTATTTTATTTACTTTAATAATCGATATATTGGACTGAGTGCAGAAATATTTAATAAAGACATATCAATTTGAGATATATGTGTAATTTCATCAACATAATTTTCTAGACGAACATTATGTTCATTACGTTTGACAGCACTGGAAATTTGTTCATATCTATAGTTTTAAATACAATAGGAAAAAAAACATGATTACATTAATAAATATAAGAATATCATACAGTACAATTTCATTAGATTTGTTCGAACACTAAGAAATGTAATAAGACCAGCAGTTAATTGTTGAATATAATTTGTTTCTTTTGTATCATCTGTTGTCGATTGCGTTGTATTATTTTGTTTATTATTTGACTAAAAAAAAAAACAAAACAACATAAATTAATAAAATAGAAAAAGACAAATCTTTAAAAATTTCACCTGTAGTTCAATTAATGACATATGAAGATCAGAATAACATTGCAGTAAAGTTTTCTATTTTTAATAATAAATAAAATTAAAAAGTTAATTTCAAATAAATTTCTATAACATACATCTTTTCTAATACTACTTAAAGTTCCTTTTGGACCAATAACAAAACCAAAATTATGATAAGTTCGTTCATATTGTACTAACATAATAAAATATTGAAGAAAATCACTATTCATTTTATTACCATCTTTTTCCTTAAAATACATAATAAAATGAAATTCAATTTAAATACAAAAAGTTTTTTTTTTCACATACTAAAAGTTCTTTCGCTTTATCAAATGATAATGTAGCTAAATAATTAAAATAACGTTCATGTAAATTATCCCATCGAGTCATTATTAACTAAAAGAATAAATAAAAAGTAAAATAAAATAAAATAAAATATCTTCTTATCATCATCGATCTTTTATTTTTTATTTTAGAACAAACAAAAACATTTATCACAATTTTTTAGGTCCATATAAATGACGAATAGAGTCATTATATCCTTCACGATTACGTGCGATTTCAATGGCATAAAATTGAATTCGTACGACTAAAATAAATTTTATAGAAAAAGATTTTTTTTATAATAAACACAAAAAAAGAAAAAGATGAATATTTACCTAGAAATGTATTTTCATTTGTATATTCACCTTTTGAATCTGTACGTACAAGTGTACCATAATTATAATCTTCAATTAAATCTCGAAATTCTTCACAAAATGGTCTCCATAACTAAGAAAAGAACAAGAAAATTTCTTTTAGTTTTGTTGTTGTTTTTTAGTTACTTGTTTTCCTTCATTTGATTTGATTTGATTTTCATCAAGTACATCGATTTTGAAATCAGGAAATAATTCGCGAAAACGAGAATATATTTTATCATCATGACGAGATAAGCGTAATTGTTTTGGATCAACAGCACAAAGTAACTATATCAGAAGGGAAAAAAAATTTCAAAAAAAAAACAAAACAAAACATTTTTCTTTGTGTTTACATTAAAATATGTTTCAGCATGTTGAAATGCTTTCATTGCCCATTGTTCTTCGAGTATTGGCTAATGAAATATAAAGAATAATTATTTAATATTAATATGAAAATAAAATTTTTATAGCATTTTACGTCATTAATATAATCTTCAGCTGACGTTGATGGAACAGTAGCATTGGATTCTGGTCTATTATCCAAATCCTAAATAACTAAAAAAGTACAGATTATTCTCATTTAAAAATTATATTTAAAACATGTTTTTTATATTATGTGAATCTTCTTCATTTAATATTCAATAGTTTTCATAGGCTACTTGAAAAAAAGTAACATTACGTTAATTATCATACCAAATCAGGTAAATTCGATGAATTTTCCATTGAAGTAAATTATCTATAGTAATGGAACAAAATCTACACATCACTTTCCATTCTTCAAATAAAATACATTTAAAAAAAAACACACAATTTAAACCAATATAGATTATATTTATTAAGTTGTATTTTTCTTTTAAATAACATAAATAAGCTTGATTTCACAAGAAAAGAAAAAACACTAGCAAATACATACACACAACACAAAATGAGTACACAACAAACATCCTAGATAAATATCTACGTCTCTCTCTCTCTCTCTCTTTTTTTTTTCTTACAGACGGATAACATAAAGTGTTTAAAATACGTAACACATTGACAAAAGAACAAAAAACAAGAAAAACTATAGTTCTAAATTTGTTGGTATTATTATTTATTTTTCTCTTCATTTAATCTACCACTCCTTCTTTCTTGCATCTAATGAAACACCACCTGGACCAAGTGCAACAACATAAAGAAGGCCACCAATAACCGACATTGTTTGAAAAAAATCATATTTTAAAAAGTCATGTAATGCTCGATGATTTGGTACAAGCCAAAAACAATTCATATAGAAATTAACAACAGTTAAATACACAACAAGAAATAATGCTGATAATTTTGTTTTAAAACCAACAGCAACAAATAACATACATATACCACCAATAAAATTTTGTATTACGGATGTAAATGATAATTCATAACGAACAATAGTTAAAAACATAATAACTAATAACATACGACCAGCTAATTGCATGTAATTTTTTGGTGCATTATTATGCATTGTTGGTACACCAGCAAATAAACTACGAGCTTCTTTTCGACTTTCTACCATTAATAATATTAAACCACCAACCAATGAACATGATCTAAGAAAAAGAATATGAAATTTTGTTTTTTGTCAGAAAGCTTTTTTTTTTGGATTTTTATTATTAGCAACAATTTTTATATGAATTTTTTTTAGCAATCATTTTTCGGAAGTTTTTTTTTTTGTTGTATTCGATTCTCACTTTAATATGTATATATATATATATGATGAGAATTCCATAAAATTTAATAACCAATTGGCTAAAAAAAGAAAACTATTTGATAATAAAATTTATTACCTGAGAAGGAATCGAAGTTCCCAAATGATTTGATATGCAATTGACTATATAGAAAAAGAAATAACCGTGAAATTTATGGATTTAAATATGCAATATTTATGTATACATTAAGATTAAGAAAATTTGCATTTAAAGTAATCTTATTATTTGAATGAAATTAATTAAGCTTAGAAATGATTCAACTATGTCAATATTTACTTATTAGAATAACTAAAATTAGATTCTGAAGTTTCTTCGAAAACGTTTATACCAAAGATTTCTACTAGGAACATTCACAGA